TGTTGTGAGCCGCCCCGAGGCTTCGGCAAGGGGCGGCTCACAACATCAAATAAAATACACAATAAATTAAAACAATAACAATTAAAATATATACAGTAGAATAAAATAAGCCACCCTGGCCAAATAAAATTCAATACTATTAACATTTAAAATGCTGCTGAAATAAAAAGGTCTTCACCTGGTGCCGAAAAACAAATAACGACGGCGCCAGGCGGACCTCTCTGGGGAGCGCATTCCATAACTTAGGCGCCACCGCTGAGAAAGCCCTCCTCCAAGTAACCACCCTCCTAATTTCCTTCACTGAGGGCTCCCGGAGGAGGGCCTCTCCCACTGATCTCAGGGGGCGGCTGGGCATATATGGACGTAAGCGCTCCTTCAGGTAACCAGGACCCAAGCCGTTTAGGGCTTGTCCTAAACTTGTCAAAATAGGAAATGTGAGCATCAACACTGCAATTTTAAGAATGGCAAGTAGCACACTGAATGTTTGACCTCAGTAAATTGTGTGAAGACCTCCTGATGCTCAATGAAATCATTTAATTCTGGACTTTAATTCTGGACAAGTCCCTTTTCCTAGGAAAATCAGGAACAATAATTCATACTCACATTGATCATGCATCATTTCTATTTATTCAGTAAACCTCAACAGTTTTCATAGTGAGCTGAATTTGTTACATTTCCCAATAACCAAAGTAGCATATAAAAAGAAACAAAAGAGATAATTATGAGGGGAAAATAGCAGCTACACACACAACACAGATTTCACATTTTATAAATGTGAATAAATGAAGAAGATAGTTTTCCTCAGTCTGGTGCCTCTAGACATTTTGGACTACAACTTCCAACATTTTTGAACACTGGTCATGCTAGATATAGCTTGTCATAGATGACATCTAAACCATCTGGAGGACATCAGGTTGGGAAATCTGTAGTACAGTTTTATATAGAGATTTCTCCCTAGGAAAAATGTTAGCTGTCCAACCTGAACTTCAGAACATACACTGTGTTTTACTTTCTGGAAAATTGTCCAAATCTAACAAGAGGCATCCACCACAGAAGCAGCTTTCCAGACAGAAGTAGCTGCTATAGATGTAGATGCCAGCTGGGTCTGGTATCTACACCACAGTGTTCATTTTGACCCTGCTCCATGAGTTGAATCTTACAACTAATTGCTAATGGTGAGAATTTGTATATAGTTTATGAAGCACCTCAATTTCATGCCCTGCTATAGCCAGAAAAAAAGTTTCTTCATACACCAAGTGTTATGTATATCAACTTGTAGGCTTCAGTGAAAAGTTTATACCTAAGCAGAAACTTTCAGTCTTCTTTTGTAAACACATAAATGCCAGATCATTTTTACAAAATGATTTCCTGTTAAAATGTAGTTTAGGATTGAAGTAGAAAAAATTCTTCTAGTTTAGTTTTGGATATAGTGGTTGCTAAGCTGATAGGAATGCAAAATTAATAATATATATTCTGTTAAGAACAAGTGTAAAAAACCTTATTACATAAGCACAGAGGTTACAATGAAAATATTGCCACAATTGTAGACTGTATCATAGACTTACTGAATATGCAGTGAAAATGTAGCAAGCTAGGAGATATAGTTTTTTGAGCATTTAGGCACATCAAATGTGTGTGTATTGAATGAATGGGGATTTGCTTTCAGATCTGCCCAATCATCAGAATATGAAATCTGCAAACTATTTAACTTGTTTAGGGAATTGACAGAATCTTCAGAACTGTGTTTAGAAGTTTAGTATTCAAAAATGGCTTGTGTTTTTTTCCAGCAGCATAACAGTGTTTCTCTTGCCTAATTATTTGGTTGCGAGCAAATTAAAACTATTTCTGAACAAAGGTCACATTACAGCTTGGTGGTATTTGTGTGGGTTGGGGCTGGTGCCTTGGTTTTTCTTTTTGCACGGTGGAGATTCTGCTGCTTGACATTGTCATTTCATAAAGGCAGGATACTGTTTGCTGTGTTTTGTGTGTGCAATGCAGCCTTGTGATGAAGGTTTCTAGATTATAATTAACATCTTTAATTGCTGGTAGAGTAGCTTGTAAGTCACTGTTATGACCAGTCTTTTCTCCTGTGTCTGATTTGTTCCTTGTTGTGTGATTGCTGTGCTATTTTTTGAAGATTCCAAATCGGTTAAAGAGAAAATAGCTGAAGTCATTGGAAATGAACAACTTTTGGGTTCTGAACCTGAGGCTAGTGATTCCAGTACAGAGGATGAAGTTGAAGTTGTAGCTTCTGCTCAAGATAAGCACACAGGTAACGTCAACTAATAAAGCAGGGTAAGCGAGGGATGCATAAGCCATTCTCAAAGGGGAGAATTTTTCATTCTTACATTTTATGGTCTCATTTTTCTTCTTTCATTTTCTTCCCTTCCTTTGAGGCAATAAATAACTAGTGTCTAAGGTTCTTAAATAACAGTGGCTTTCAGACTAATTACCTTCATAATATTCTTTCTACATCAACCCTTCGAGGGTCAGCTTAGGACATCTTACTAAAGCAAAGGATACGATGGCACTCTTTACCTCACAACTACATACAGAAGCTGACTGGACCAGCATTTAAGTCTTCAGTTTAGGGATATAGGGCAGGTTGTATGGCTTGCAGAACTCTGCCCTCACAGCTTGCGGCTGCACTGTGCCCACCAGCTTTTGTTGCCTGAAATGGTTGTCTCACTTTGCTTAAAGGTAGGCCTGCACTTGCTTAGGGTACAAGACTTCATGGCATACCGCAGGATATGCAGCCACTTTATACAACTTGTTTGCCAGGGCTTTTCATTCTCACATTGCTATATTCTCTGTTCCACCCCACACCCTCCTGGAGGGGTACTTTACATGAAAGATATTTAATGATGGACAAAGCTGCCTTTGAGAAAGGCCTGTTTGTCGTTACTGAACTTTTCCTTGAGGAGCCTTAATAAACATCCTAGTAACTCCATGTTATCCAGAAACAGTTTCAAAGCAATTTCCCTGAAAACATTATGCCAGTGGACCACACACATATTGGCTACCTGCTTCTTTAGTGTATATATAGGCTGTGAGGGAAGTAGGATAGGCACGTATCCATCACCAAGAACGAGGGAAAAAATAATAAAACCAGAGGACAATTTGCATAACATTCACAGATGCTAATTTATATGTATAAGTGCAAATTTAGAAATGTCATGTTCTTCCTCATGTCACTTCCTATAGAGGGAAGGTTTTTCATGCACAGGATCCAGGAAGCGAAGAGGGAGGAAAATATCCTTGACTTGGTCTTGACCAACAGGGAGGAGCTGATAGATGGGGTGCTGATTAGGGGAGCTCTGGATGAGAGTGATCACTCCATTCCTTGCTTTGAGATCAGGGGAATGGGAGTGAGCAGCAGTTCAAGTACTAGAAGCTGGGCTTCAAGAAGGCCAACGTCGGTCAGTTGAAGGCCAGACTGACAAGGTCTCCTGGGAGAGGGGACTGGAAGGCAAGGGAGTGCAGGAGGGGTGGATGGCACTCAAAAGCAAATTCTTGGAAGCAGAAGCCTGGACAATACCACTAGTTATGAAGACAGGGAGGTGAAAGAGAGTGCTGCTGTGGATGCAAAAAGAGGTGGTAAAAAGGATCAGAGGAACCTCCATAGGAAATGGGCACTGGGGCAAGTAGACAAAAGGGATTCTTTGCAAGGCTAAGGCTGATTATGAGCTGAGATTTGCAAAGAATATCAGGAGCAAAAACAAGGGCTTCTGTAAATATGTAAATAGCAAAAGGAAGGGGAGACAGGAAGTGGGACTGCTAAATAAGGAGGAAGGGGATTTAGTGTCTGATGTGAGGGAACAGGCACAAATTTTGCCTCTGTGTTCTCTCCAAAGAAGGGGATCTACATGGGGGACCACATTAGAGTCACCCTCCTAGAAGTTGAGGAGCTTCTCATGGTAGTAGAGGTTACAAAGTCACCAGAACCTGATGCGTTACACCCAAGAGTACTTTGAGAGTTGGCAGGAGTTCTCTTGCACCCCTTGGCCTCCAATTTTGAGGCCTCGTGGAGAATGGGTGAGGTGACAAGGCAGTCAAGAGGGTGAACATCACCTTTGATAGCATAGCCAGAAGCATGACTTCTAGATCGAGAGAGGTATTACTAACACTCTGTACAACTCTGATGTACCCATAACTGGAGTATTGTGTTCAGTTCAGGGCTCCACATTACAGGAAGGATATAGCCAGGTTGGAATCAGTGCAGTGTAGGGCCACAAGAATGGTGGCCAGATTGCAGGGAAAGCCATATGAGTTGAAACTGAGGGAACTGGGTCTTTTCAGCCTGGAGAAGGGGAGACTCTGAGGGGATCTGTTCGCAACATATAGGTACATGAGGGGTTGCCATACAGAGGTGAGTAGAGAACTGTTTTCCCCTGCAGAGGACAGTAGGATGCATTCCAGTGGAGCAAACCCAGGGAAGCAAGGTTCAATTTGGATGCCAGGGAGTACTTCCTGGCAGTTAGGACCCAGGAAGTGGTTGAAGCCCCATCAGTGAGGGTGTTCAAGGATAGGTCAGACATGCACATGCCATGAGAAGAGCTGGCTGTAGTTGTGGTCAGACTAGAGGGCCCTTTCTGATTCGTTCTGTTTCTCTGCTTCTTTGTTTCCTGGAGGAGGATTCCTTAGATGAAGAAAGCAAGGGCAGTGAGCATTAGTCACAATCAGGTGCAGGGGTCATGGCTGCAGATCAGTGTCCTGCAATAGAAGATGAGGATCTAGGACTTTCAGGGGCAGCCCCTGTGGTTTCTCAAGAGCAAGAGCCAGAAGAGGAGGGAATCCACCCTGTAGAAAGGAGGAGGAGTGCATGGCTTTGGCTTCAACAGAAATCCAAACACTCTGAAAGGGGAGGTTTCCATGAGACAACATGCCGATTTAATTGGCCAGCTTGTACTGAGTTACTGATGGCAATAAATTAGTTCAGGTAGAACTGCCCTGTGTTGCATACAGCACATAGCACTGTGTTCCTGAACTTTGTTGATGCTAAGTAGTATCTATCTTCCTGGCCTGATTATTGGATGTTCTTTGGACTTCCCCACATGACTTGGCACTTTGGAAATGCACTAACCATACAGTCTTGACCCCTGGACTGAAACGGACAATTCTTGAGAAGATAACTTGGAGAGCGTACTTTTGTATACACAGGAAAGAAATGATGAGATCTGCAGGAAAAGCTATGCAAGGAAGGCTTTTTCAAAATTGCATTATTTTTCAGTGGAACTTTAGCCCTATAGTAGGGTTCAGGGTGTGCACCAGGCTAGGGTTAGGGTTAGATAAAACGAGCTGTCCTAGCATGTTTTCGATGGTTTGAATGTGTTTCGAATGGGCAGAAATGTTGAGCTGTGCAGAAAAAGCTACTCAAGGAGGGTTTTTTCAAAATTGCCCTCTTTTCAGTGGAGCTTTAGCCCTATAGTAGGGTTAGGGGCATGTACCAGGGTATGGTTAGGGTTGCAAAAACGAGGTGCCCTGGCATGATTTCGATGGTCAGAATGTGTTTAGATTGGGCAGAAATGAGCTGTGCAGGAAGAGCTACTCAAGGAAGGCTTTGTCAAAATTTTATTATTTTCAATGGAACTTTAGCCCTATATTTGGGTTAGGACTGTGCACCAGGCTAGGGTTAGGGTTACAAGAACGAGGTGTCCTGGCATTATTTCTAAGGCTGGAATGTGTTTAGAATGGGCAGAAATGATGAGCATTGTAGGAAAAGCTACTCAAAGAAGGCTTTTTCAAAATTGCATTATTTCAATGGAACTTTAGCCCTATGTTTGGGTTAGGGGTATGCACCAGGCTAGGGGTAGGGTTAGAAGAACGAGGTGTTCTGGCATGATTTCAATGGTTGGAATGTGTTTAGAATGGGCAGAAATGATGGGCAGTGCTGGAAAAGCTACTCAAGGACGGCTTTTTCAAAATTGCCCTCTTTTCAATGGAACTTTAGCCATACATTAGGAGGTTGAGACCTGTAGCTCACATTGTATCTGAAGAATTTATTTGCATGAAGAGCAGGGCACATTGGATTGTGCAATTAATAGCTTTCAAAATCCTTCTTTTGTTATCATTCCAAACATTCTGTGATTGTTTCTTCTGTAAGGACAAATTCCACATCAGAACATCAGAACCAATAGGCATTTCAGCTTATTGGCATTCCAATTAAATGAAATGGCTTATTTCAGTGGTTTGTCATGGGAAGTGCTACTGGCTCAGGAAAGGTTGCAATTTTGATCGAGTAGAATTTGGTGCTTGCAAATAACTAATTAAAAAAAATCAAAGCCAGTAGCATAGGAAGAAAGAGCAGGTACTTTGCAAAGAGGCCACAGCAGAGAAAACTTCTCTTGTGTATTTGAGTTAGTGAACCCAGAAAATTAACATGTCAAATTTACTCTCATGTGGCAGCATCCTTAAGACATCAACTCTTCTCAGGTTCACCCAGCAGTGCAGATCAACATCAGATTATTCAAATACTAAACCATTTCACTGGCTAGAGGAGAAAGTGAAAAGTATGGCATTTTTCATAACAATATATATTTTAATATTTTAATTAAACGTATGCACACAGACCAAGCACTGATACAGTTATCACAATTACACCTCATGATGTGCTTATTTTGATAGTGCCAGATGGAGTGTCCTTGACAAGAGAAGTTCAAATGCTTGAATCACAGAAGGTTACAGAGCAAGTAGAACAAGAAGACCAGATGGTGGGCAAAGGAGGAGCACCTGAGGAAGAGAAGCTTATAGAAGAGGAAGTTCCCAAAGAAGCAGCTTGGGAAGAAGAATTACTAGCTCCACATGAAAAAATGGAGCAGCCAGTGAAGAATGAGCTGGTATTAGATGATTTGGAATTGAAGAAAGAAGTAGTGGTAGAATCAGATCTGAATGATGTAGAGAAACAAGTAATGTATGAAGAAGGAGAGTCATTAGAGGACAAGGTAAAAACAGAGCAAGAACTCAAAGAACCAAAGGAAACATTAGAATACAGGACTTTTAATGGACATGAGATATCAGAAGAATGGCAGTTACAGTGGGAGGAAGTGGACGACCAGCATATCATCGAGGAATTCATGGCTTTCAAGGAAGAAAAAAGTGCAGAAGTAACTGAGACATCTGAAGTTCTGGGAACTATGGAAATAATAGGACAGAAGACCATGGTAGTGGAAGCCAATGAAGCAAAGGAGGTCATGGAAGAAGCACCTCAGAAAGATGAAGCTCTGGAAGTAAGATCTGTAAAAGAAGACACATTTGGGGACGCACAAAAACATATGGAAGAGGATGAACATGAGGGAAGGGCAACTTTGAAAGATATCAGATATGATGTAGAAGTCATAGAAAAGGATAGCAGCATGGAAGACAGAGGTATGGAGGAAAAATTTTTGAAGGTAGAAAGGAAGGAAGAAGGAAACTATGTAAAAATGGAAGTGGGGAATGCCCCCCTTGAGGGCTTAGAACTTAAATTCATGGATGAAGGAAAATTTGTAAAACTGGAAGTGGGGAAAGCTCCTCTTGTAGACCCAGAACTTAAAGCACAAGATGTAGAAGTGAAAGAGTTAATCACCATTGATGAAAAAGGAACTGTTTCTGAAGAAAAGTCAACAGGCAATGGCAATGAACTCACAGAAGTTCCATCTGATGTGGAGGAAGTAGTCCAGGAAGTTCCATGCACATGGAATGAGCAGTTAGAAAAAACCTTTCCAGAAGTAAGTGAGATGAAAAATGCATGTATAGAAGATGACTCTATGCTAGAGGAACAAGAATCTTGGTTGGAAGCACCCTTGCAAGTCTATGAAACAGGAAGGCTCCTTTCAGCAACAGAAGAAGAAACTATGTACAACCAGAGAACAAGAGGAATAATTGAGAAGGAAGAGCAGTCTGCAGGCAAAGCAAATTCTGGGGGAGAAACAGCACACATAAACATGGTGGTGACTGAAGAGGAAGAGAATCTGGTGCAAGCAGTGGAAGGGGAATCCACAGAGAACCCTGAACAGGGACGGAGTGACGATATGGGCATATCCAAAATGGCAGATCTTAAAAATAAATGGGGAATTGGGAAACAAGAGCTTTTAGCTCAAATTGTCCCAGAAACTATAGCATCAGTGACAGAAGAAACCACATGGCAAACAAAGGCAGAAAGAAAGGTAGCAGTTGAAGGTGAAGCAGAAGTTGAAGAGGCTGAAAGAGAGGTGGAAATTGAAACAGAAAGGGAGAATGAAGAGGAAAAAGAGGAGGTAGAGATGATATCTGTGATCACAGGACATGAGGGAGACACTGTCTCTGAGATGACTATCATGAGAAGTCAACATGTAGTCACCATAAGAAAAGAGAAGACAGCAGAGGCAAAACACATCCCTGAGGTAGCACTTGGAAGAAAAACACTCAACAAAGAGGAGATACAGGAGAATGAGGCAAACTTCCAAGATAAAGAAGAACAAACAGAAGAAACATCAATTTTCTTAGTGCAAAATGAAGAGATAACTGTTCAAGAGGAGAATGAGGAGACAGAAGATGAAGAATCAGATGGAGAAGAACACTTGATGAGCGAAGAAATAATAACTCTGGCAGATGTAAAGGAAGCTCTGTTAATAGGGATACAGCAGTTGATAACAGAAGTATCACAGATGAAGAGAGAGGAGGAAGAAAAGGAAGAAGAACCTCAAATGGAAGGGGTATCAGAGAAAAGAGCACCTCAGGATGATGCTGTGAATGAAGATATTATTGCAGTTATGGTAGCAAAAGAAAGGTGGGATACTCAAAGTGACAAAGCTGAGGAAGGAGAGATAGGAGATTATGTGGGAGAAAATCCTTTGGAAGGAAAATGTGAAAATGAAAACAGAACAACAACAGTGGAATGCCCAACAGATAGTGTGACAGTGACAAGAACCTTTCTAAAGAGTGGGAAATGGTCTGAAAGATATCAGCACCAAGAACCCGTTGACTCATCAGACTGAGAACACAGGGACTAGGTTGAAGGTGAGCATGTGCATGTGTAATGCCAAGGATCTCAAAAGCAATTTCAGGCCTCTCCAAGGTAGTCTACTAGCTAAATGGTGTACATTAAGGTGACTCTTGTGCCCAGTGAAAGGGAAATCCTCCATCCCATTACAAATCTTAAACTGCCTTTCAAATTTGCTTAGGTCTTTGGATTAATGTCTGATCATCTGTAGCATATCTAGTTAGAGTTATGCATGTTACAAGAGAAATGTGTAAGAGAGGAAATGACTATTACCTTCCAAAGCTTCTCCAGCTGTTTTTTGGTCATTTGGGGCCCTATATTTTTCCTAAGCATGATGTGTCTGGTACTTGGCCTGCTGACCAGTAAGGAACTTTAAGTAGTTGTTTTGTTCCTGATTACTTTCTGCTTTCCAACTCCCATATTTACAAATGATACCAATAAGTCAAATTCAACTGCTTTGTTCAGGCAGACACAATCCACTTCATTAGTGGATGATGTCTTGTAAGGTTTTTACAGGTTTGCTAACTTCTGATTGTATTCCTAACTATTGTGTTTGATACATTGATATCACAGGGGTCAAAGACAGCATACACTGTCAAAGAAGCATGCAGCAAAGATGTATAACATAGCAATATATTTAATATATCTATTTTCTTTTCTCTTTTTAAGATTTTTATTAAGATTTTAAACTAAAAACTAAAAAACATCAACCATCAAATACATTGGATGTACTGGGTCAGCCCCCTATAACATTTCTTTTTAACATTCGATAATCATATTCAAATCGATTTATAAAAATTTAAAGACATCTTTAAATCTAAGCCAAGTCCCGTTTCTCCAGCCAATCATAAAAAAGTTTGACAGAAGTCAGTATCTTCTTTCTCCTTCAGTAATAGAGTCAATCTGTCCATTTCTGCACAGTCCAGAATCTTTTTTAAAATCAGTTCCTCAGTGGGTAGTTCCTCACTCTTCCAGTATTGAGCAAGTGTAATCCTCACTGCTGTGATTAAATGTAGCATCAAATACATTTCTTGTTTGCTAATATTTTCCGGTATAATGCCTAGCAAGAAAATTTCAGGTTTAAAAGCTAAGGGTTTTTGTAGCATTTCCTCAAGCCATTTATGTATTTTAATCCAATACTTTTTCACATATTCACAGGTCCACCACATATGGTAAAAAGTACCCACATCATATTTACATTTCCAACATCCATTTCACATATTTAGAAACATCTTAGCTAATCGACTTGGAGAGAAATACCATCTATAGAACATTTTATATAAATTTTCTTTATATGAAGTTGCTAAAGTTACCTTAATATTTCTCTCCCATAGCTTTTGCCACTTTTCTAATTCAATATTATATCCAAAATGTTGTGCCCATGTTATCATAGTTTCCTTAACCTGTTCCCCTTCCATTTTCCTGTCAAGTAAGAACTCATAAATTCTTTTAATCATTTTCTCATCTGTTTTTAGCATCACTTGATCAAAGGCTGTTAGGTCTTTATAAAACCCCCATATTTTACAATCTTTAGCATACCTTGATTGCATCTGCACCTTGTACCACCAAGAGATATTGAGTCCCTGTTCTTGTATTTCTTGATCTAGTTTCAGGCC